ACAATGTGATATTTTAAAATTAATTACTATTTTATTTCAAGCCAATATTTTTGTAGATTTTAAAACTGCATGATCAGTTTATAAAATTATTGATTAATTTTTAATAATTTTAATAATAATACAGAAAATTATTAATTATAGTTTCCCTTGACTCATTTTGTATATTTCTCCATGTAATATTTAATCGATAGGTATTACCGTAGATAAAATATATCAAATGCAATTGAATTCATTTGTGTAAGAAGGGGGATGTCAAGTTTGATCGATTTCAAAATTTATTTCTTTCGAGATCGACAAAGACGATCGACAAGAGAAAGAGAGAGAGAGAGAGAGAGAGAGAGAGAGAAAGAGAGAGAGAGAGAGAGAAAGAGAGAGAGAGAGAGAGAAAGAGAGAGAGAAAGAGAATGAGACCTTTACCTTTCTAAGTAATCTTCTTCTTCTTCTTCTTCTTCTTCTTTTCATTCGTTTAGATTGCAGTGGTTGACATTAGTTAGACGATTCTCAGCACGTCCTCGTTCCGTTACTTCGTGTTCTCGTTCGTCAATGTTCTCGCGGCTGATAGGTAATTAGTTGCATTCACTCCTCTCCTCCTCAGTACCCCTGTCTCCTTTGAAACACGACGAATTACTCTCTTCTCATAGCACGCCTTTTGTGGACCTTTTATTATCATCCTTGTCGTTGGTTTCTCTCTTTGTATTGATTTCTTTTTATCTTTCTCCGACGGTGATCTTGATCATAGAAAAATCAGACCGATCCCATTTCACTCGACTATCCTTTAGTTTGCTGATTGTGAGCTAACAATCTTTCTAATGCCATGTGTAGCGGATAATCTTATTTTTATCTTTTATGATAGAAAATAATTGGCATAATTAATTTTTCAACTATACGCTTAGATAATAAATTTCTTTTTTTTTTAAAGTCGACTTTTATTAAAAAAAAAATGAAAGTAGTTAATATTTGTAATTTAATTTTATTTCGTAGAATTGATTTTGGAACGATAAAAAAAAGAAAAGGTTTGTTTATAATCGTACGAATGTTGACGTCAACTAACTATAAGTGTCTCCCACTGAAATGGGAAAAATGTCGAAATAACGTAAGATTCGTTTTCTCCTATTTCCCATTGAATTTATTCATCTTCCTGACCTTTGACGTTGCCGCTTTGTTATTGTATAATAGAATATTACAACGAAGACGCCGTGTTTCCTAAGTTGGAAGTTGGTATCGTGCTAAGGCTCGATGATTTCTTGGATGAACGATAGACAGGAAAGAAAGAAAGAAAGAAAGAAAGAAAGAAAGAAAGAAAGAAAGAAAGAAAGAAAGAAAGAAAGAAAGAAAGAAAGAAAGAAAGAAAGAAAGNAAGAAAGAAAGAAAGAAAGAAAGAAAGAAAGAAAGAAAGAAAGAAAGAAAGAAAGAAAGAAAGAAAGAAAGAAAGAAAGAAAGAAAGAAAGAAAGATATATACAAAACGAAAAAAAATAAAGAAAGAAAGGGCTGCCTGTCAATATGTCACAGGGGTGATATGGCCTCGATGATGCCTCGTGATCTCAAGGATTCGATGAATTCATGCGAACAAGACGAAAATTCAATGACTTTGACTGGCCTGACCTGGCATTCAATTAAGGGTTAAAAATTAATGCGGTGTGATAAAACATGATTGAGTATTTTCAAATGAAATAACATCTCTAAGAGCTAAATTGGAAAGTGATTGACATTGATACATCAGCATTCGTCAAATAGGAAGGAAATAAGTTCTTGCTCAAACGCCTTATTCTTTATCGAATCTACAATATCTTTTTTACAATAAACAAAGCTTAAGTACCGCGAACAAAGAACAATACAAAACTCATGTGATTAATTAGAAAATAATTGTTTGTAATAGTGATAAAAAAGAAAAAAGAATTCTAAATAACTTCCTAGCAATTTTCTTTTCTAAAGAAACTCTTTTGATTTCTATAGAAATCGAGTCGAATAATGTTAAGTATTTTTAAAAATCCATTACGGTCATTCTCCAGACCATTTCGAGGCTAATTAATTTTAATTTTTTTTAAATTGTAAAATTACAAGTCCAAGATTTGTTGATTCACCTAAGACATTTATTATTAAATCTAGCCACATTTTATATATGCATTCAGTAATTGATTAAAGTATTGCATCGATCGGTGCAACGCCGATTTGTTTTTTCCTACGTATCCATACAATAATCATCCAAGTATTTTTATATATAAAAAAAAGAAATAAAAATATATAAAAAGGAAAAGATCTTCGATCGTCCTCGTTAATTGCTTTATAAGCGACTCGCTTTCGATCCATTTCGCAAGATCACAGCGTGAAATTTCGCTTCCTTCGGCGACGATATTTCATCACTTAACAGTATACGTAAATAATGTGGCACTTAAGAGGATGAACCAGTCCATTATCTTGAAAACGCGTGAAGATGCGACAAAAAAAAGGTTGATCAACAAAAAAATTAAAAGATAAAGAAACGTATACTCGAAGTAGCAAGGATATTTTACCATTACGTTTTGGAGAAAAATACAAATAAATAAATATATTATATAAATTTCATCTCCTTCTTCATTTTTTTTTCGTTTCCTTTTTTCATTCCTTTTTCTTGTGATACACAATAGAGGTGTTCATCTCAAGGAACGAGATCGTATGCTTTCGACGACGGGCTAATATCGTAACCGAAGACAAAGCAAGTCGCGTGAAATTGTGCAACTCTCGAATGGATTCTACTGCATACCTTTATTTATATAGTATAGTATAGTTATGCTTTTAAAGATGAGGATAAAGAAAAAGAGAGAGAGAGAGAGAGAGAGAGAAAGAGAGAGAGAACATGACAGGTGTAGTATGCGATGTTAAATTATATTCCATCTCTCGATCATTTTTCTCTCTTCGCGAGATTTATATTTTTAGTTTACTAGATTTCTCTGACGTGTTTTATCTCTTTTAATTCTTTTTTTCTTTTGCATAAATTAAAAATCTCTCTTTCTTGTTACGTCAACATAAAAATCGAGCAAAACTTTCGGATAATTAATTTTTTTTTTATACTAGGAACTTAAAGAATTTGATATAATCTGAGAGAAAAAACATGTGCAAAAGTTTAAACGGATTTGTTATTCTTAATAGAATTTTTTACGTAAATATAATTAAAAACAAAAAATAAATTAATATTATTTATTTTATATAAATATTTAAAATACGAATATTTGTAAGACATCAAAGAAAGTTTCTTACATTTAATTGATAATAATTTTTCAATAATTCTTTATCTAACAGAAACATTTAATAAATAATGAAAAAATATATAAAACACTTGGGAACTTGGGAAATACGTAGAGGATTCTTTTTTTGTGTCGAAAGTCCAAAGTAATTAAGTTTGATTCCAATCAAAGCTTAAAGAAATATAAAAGCGCATCTCAAAGGAAATAATCGAAGGCGCATTGACGTGTCGTACGGTTCTGTACTTCGTGAAGGCTCACGAAGAAGTTCTATTCTGTTTACGATATTGCCTCATACCTTCTAGTTTCTTCTTATCGAGTAAGTACTACTCGTTTACGGAGAAAGAGGTGCCATTTATGTAACACTTATTACCACCATTGTATAATCTAACTATACTAAATTCGTACCGCTAAATACTTTTCTCTTGTCATTTGTGAGAAAGTTTTGGAGCGTTTCCACCACCAGAGTCTTCTACGAGCAAATTCATGTCTTGTGCACGTTTTATACGCATGAAATATTTCATTACTTTTCTCTGGAAAAATTTAGAATACAAATTTTCATTTAGTAAAACGTGATAACAAATTTATTTTGTTTTTTCTTTTTTTTTTCTAACGAATGAAACAAAATTTGATCTCACGACCATTATCTAATGATTTTTTTCAGGATAATAATTCAAGATCGTATTATGCCTTGCAAAATCTATGAACGATTTGGTTGCAAGAAATCAATCGCGTTAGCCCTGAAGGAGAATGATCGTCATTACGACATAATCATGAGAACTATAAATCGATCGTGATAGAATACATTTTTTTGGTATATGCGCTTGTCACAAATCTTTGTCGTAGATATTGGAACGAACGAATCTACAGAAAGGTCCTTCAAAAACAATCATCCGTTGATTGCTAATTTAGATCTATAAAATAAACGATTGATATTTGCAATCTTTTTCGCGTAGAAATTAATCATAAAAATAATACACAAATAATAATAATAATAATAATAATAATAATTATTATTATTATAATAATAATAAAATGTTAATTTTGTAAACGCTATTACAAAACTTTTATAGCTATTACACAAGGAGAAATAAATGAGATAGAATAGCACAAAAAGAGTTTATTGACTCTTTCACATAACGCCTGTTCAGACTTTGACAAAGCCATACTAATTAAAGTATTTCATGCATGTTCGCTAATTAAACGATTATTGTTATTTTAACGACGTTTTACTATTCGCAAAAATAAAAGTTACAAAGATTATTATTAATATACAAAAGTAATAAAATCATTCTTATCTATCACGTACAAACATAATTGATAGAACGGTTAAAAATGATTCTCATCAGGTCTATTATTCTAACCCTCCCTCCCTCTACTTCTTATTATTTCTAATAATACACGCACATGAATGAATAATAAATATTAATCATTTGAAATAACGTATCTCGTCGTAGAATAGTAAAAGTAATTATTGATTATTTTTGATTGAAATATAAGCTCAAATTTATTATCATTTGTATTATATGCGAAGATTGAATCATCACTGAAAGTAGAAGTTTTTCTTTGTTTCACGTTCCAGATACGTTTCATCGGATAAAGAAAGAATCAAGACGACATCATCGATATATTATATCTATGTATATTCATATATATACACGTACAAATAGATATCTTAGATAGTTGTGATGAAATAGTCGATAAATCATCGCTCCACTTTACGAGCTATTTCTTTTTTAAACTGTCATCCGTATGTTTGATCGCGAACAATACGTCGCGAAAGTCAAGGTTCTCTTCTGTGTTAATTTCTACGTGCTTTGCTTGTTTGTGGATTGCTCGTTCGTGCGTATACACGTGTATGGTTGTACAGGTTTTACGTATTTACGTTCTTACAAATGGAACGAAGAAGAGGAGTTATGTTAATTAATAAACGCCAAGTCCGTTTTTGCGGTTATGCGCTTCTCCTCTTATGACTCATCTTTTGACGGTGTATACGCTACGGTAAAATACAGTACGTAAATACTTATACGTACCCCCCTTTAAGTCTTACTAATGAGGAAATCGTGTGTACGTCTTGTAATCTACGTGCGCGAGATGCTTTGCTTTTTTCGTGACGTTCAAATTGATTATCTTTGTTCGTCGCGCTCGGTCAGAACAATTACGTAAACTTCTAGCACAACTTTACTTGTATACGTGTATATTCTTTGCTGAAGCGTATACGAGATCATCTCAAGTCTTTTGCATCCAAACATAGTCTTAGCTTGTGCAATCCCATGTTTTTTGACATTTTAAAAAGGATATTTCAAAAAAATAAGACATAGAGAGAGAGAGAAATTTGATGTTGCTTACCTTAATCAAAGACAAACGACTAATTAGCTGCGATTATGATAACATCGTTTGTTTCTTTCTTTCTTTCATTTCTTATCGAATAATCTTGTTTGCATGCAGCATGTTTATTTAAGATATTAAGTTTATTTCATATAAGAATTTTAATTGTTGTTTGAATATTGTAAGCGTAGTTCAATCCTTGGATATGTAAAGCTGAATAAACCTATTTTATTCTACGTATGTAGGTTAATCCAACCCTTTATGTATCGTCAAATGGTATGATCCTTATATACATCGTTCATACGGGTCCTTTGCATATGACGACCCGTATGCGAATCTTTAGTAATGAAAGGGTTAATAATTAAAAGAAATATATGTATATAAAATTTGTAATTTTTAACTATAAATATATTCTCCAATTTGAACCCAGCCTATGGTATTCCTTTTATATCTTCATATATAAAAATTCCGTGTCACATTGTTAGTTTCTCATAGACTCCGAAACTACTGAACCGATTTGAATGAAATTTTATTTATTTTGTTTAATTTTTTCAACTTAGAATATAGCATAGTTTTTATAGCGATTATTTGTATTTTTTATTGCTAATTTCAAGATTTATTATTTAAAGGTTATCTAAGTCTGTAGGTACTGTAAGTTTTTAATAGATAGCGCTGTATTACAATTAAATTATTTCGATATATTCACGTCGTACGTTTGTTTCAGATTTACATAGGACATAGCCTTGCTTTTTATATTTTTTCATGTATTATTATTTTATGTATTCCATTGTAATTGTAATATTATTTCGTGTGGTTTTATTTATATATTATATATATATTATATATATATTAAAAATTGTATGTTGTTTTATGCTTTATTTGATTTCCCAGAAATTATTAGTGATTATGAATTTGGCTGCATTAAATAGTTTAGAATTATGTTAAATCAACGTTTTCTAAAAATGCCACAGCAACGCGTAGCCGGAGCATCCTAGTATATATATATATATATATATATATATTTTTTTTTTTTTCATAAAAATTACAGATTCATAAGATATAAAATTAATTTATGAAGAAGTATAAGAGAAAATTTTTGAATTGAAAATTTTAGAAAATATTTTTGTATTCTATTATTGCTAGATTTAAAAGTGAGTTGCTAAAAGTAAATAGATTGTGCCGTTTAATATTATATTGCTTGCAAATACCATAGACCCTCGAACACATTGTTCAAAGTGAGCAGTAAATGAACATTTATTGATCACGCGAGCGTACAGGAAGGCACTGCTGTCGATATTCGATCCTCCTACAGAAGTGCATTGCTGGCCTCTCCATTCTCCTTTGTTAAATTTCTCCCCCCTCTCTCTTTCTCTCTCTCTTTCTCTTTCTGTCTCTCCCTTTGTCTATCTCTTCATTCTTTCTCTCCGTTAGTTTCTGCAAAATTTGTGAGTGCTTCAGTCTCCGAGTGTCCAATCGCCAGACTGGGCTTGTTCAGTGTTCATCCATTTGGTTATCGACATGAAACTATAATATACAGAAGCTATTAAAAAGAAAACAGTATGCTAGAAGGAAGGAGTACAATATTTGTTGTGTTCTGTTTTTTTTCCTTTCTCCTATTTTTTGATTGTCTAAATTTCTTGTCGAAGTTTTTATTTCATTTTTATTATGAAAGTAATTTATATGGCAATATTTCTATCAAATACTTGAACAAAAAGTATTTATAAACATTAAAAATTGGTGATATAAGAACTATCGAATTAATTCAAATTTTTGAGAAAAATTTAAAAAAGAAAAATTATTAGACGATTTTTAATTAGCACACTTGATCTATTAAGTTGATCAATAATTTCATGAGGGTTTTTGACGTTTATTTTTTTTTTTTTTAGGAAAAAATTGTATTACCTTATTGGACAATTTAATAATTAGGTCGATTCTTCTAATAATTATTACTGCAATATCTATTGCATAAAATAAACAACAAAGATAACGTTCGGTGCATTAACAGGAAAGAGGTGATCGTAGGCGCTAAGATCAAAAGAACTTTCTCAAATAAAATGAATAAGCGAGAAGTTTAGAATTTTTTTTTGTCAGAAGCAGAGGTGACATCGTTGATTGGTTAAACAGATCTTAAGGAAATGTAAAGGATGTTAGTTAGGTATCGGTTGATGATATAAATCTGCTGATTTTATGAGTTGCCGTGTAAAGTACGATTCTCGAAATATACTTTCGATGGATGATACCCATCGGTGTTCCGGAGTCTGCATATAATATAGAATTATCTAAAGTACTACTTTCTTCGATATGGCATTACTCAGTGTGTAAATATAGCTATGTATGTACGTGCATATGTGAATGTACGTTTATATGTGTATAGAACGTATCTTTACGTTTTCATGTATATTTTTTTCCTTTTCTTTTCTCAGGTCTTGTATGCAAGCTATGCGGAAAGATTGCTCGTAAAAGTAGAATATCGATGAGTATGTAATATGCATAGGATGAAATGTAAAACGTGTTCATTTTGTATAAATTTTCTATGATTTTTACAAATCATATAAGATATTTATATCTTATTGATTTATTTCGAAATGATCTAAATACCTTGAACTACAAAAAAAAGGAGAATCAATTGAAAAATATTCATTTATTTGTAAAATAAATGAAACGGATTTGCAATAATTGTCTTTTTTTGTTGTTGTAAAATACAACTTAGATACACAATAATTGTTCATTCGAAATAAAATTGAAAAGTTAAGCGAAGTGAGTAAGTTAACTGTTCTTTTATCTGTACATATGTATGTATGTATATAAATCTTTAGTACACAGTAGAGGAAAATGGAGCGAGAAAAGTTTACCTCGCGAAAAATACAAATTGACTTTCCCGAAGCGAAGAAACTTGAACTGGAAATTTCTTAATGGAGAGTAGCAAGCAGACCGATAAGAAGGGAAAGGGCCTCGATAAGTTGATTCTCTCTAATATCGTCATTTAATTGTTTCGAAGAAAAAAATAAAAAAACAGTCTTCCCTCGAAGTCGAAACTTAATTTTACCGAGAAGATGATCGAATTACTAATCAACGGGGCTTCCAATCGAGATGCTCCCTAATTGAACGTTAAGTCGATATCCCGTTTAACATGAAAACTGAAAGCAACCTACCAAAGTTTGACTTCTTTATTTTTTTCTCTCTCTCTTTCTCTCTTTCTCTCTTTTTCTCTTTTTCTCTGCTTACTAATTCTTATTATTCCTCTAAAGTGCGAATGTTTAGAACGAAAACCTTTGATATCGATAATTAAAACTCATTTTTCAAGAAAATACAGTGATTTCTTTTAAATAATAAATAATAATACATCAATAAATATCGTTATATAAAAATATTGTTAAATAAACATATCAATAAAATTAAATGCTTCTAATCGAATACATATAGGAGCATTTTATGTGAAATCGACCATTTTTGACTCCGACCCCTTTTGATTTGGCTGAAACTTTTTTATCATTTTCAATTTCTAATAATTTTCAATTAATAACCTCTCTGAGAATTTTTTCAAATTTTTTTACTCAACTCAAAGAAGTTAGGAATTAAAAAAAAAATAGGTTTTTTTCCAAATAGCCGTAACTTTGTTAAAAATAGACTTATCAGGACATTAATTCAAGGTCAAATTCTTTAAGAAATTTCGTTTTTTTAGGAAAAAATCTCAAATTTTCAAATATTGGTATTTTTTATTTTTTTTCCTTTTAAACTTTAGTTTATTCTGAATTTATATCCTACCTTTTCCAGATGGGCCGACATTTCTTTCTATTTTATTCCTTAATTTAAAAATTTGTTTTTGATTTTTTCGCAATTTAATTTTGCTTTTATACTAAAACAAACTTAAATAAATGTATATACATATTTTAAAATTTATTTAATGGCGTTAGTTTAATTATATACTATCAAAAATTATAATTACAAAAAGATAATAGAAATAAATTTTTTAGATATAACAAAATTTATAAAATTTCTATCAACTATCGAACATGTACCTTGGAATGTAAAAGAAAGTTTGAAAAAACTGGCACAAAGCCTGATCCCTTATTAGTGTTCGGTCGTAACCGTGTCCCCCGCTACCATGGGCGTGTGTAGAATATATTATACATAAGAGGGGAGGGTTAAAGAGGAGGAAATAATTACGAGGGAGAATTATGCAGAGGATTACGCGATCGCGCAAGAAGTATTAGGAAGAACGTGGGAAGAGCCGAATTGCATTGCACATTGTACCGACCTGACAAAACTTTCGACGGTGAAACTCCACGGTTTTGCTATCGCTCACGTTCTTTCTAGAGGTTTATAGAAATAATCATTAAAAGGTGAAAAGAGATGCTTCAATGATGTTCCTTTATCGTTCCAAATTTCATTCCAATGTTGATGATGAACGTGACGCTTGAATATCCCTCTATTTAAAATCAGCTATTTTATACTCGACGTTAACAAATATCGCGCATAAAGTCAAATTAAGAATTTCTTTTACTTTTAAATGCTTATACCTATGTATAAAAAAAAGTATTCCCAAAAATTAAAATTTACATTAATATTAATCAAATATAGAATTAACAAATGAATATAAACAAAATACATAAAATGATTATTTGAAATATAATGAAACAGTAATGATACATATTTTTATCAACAAACAAAAATAATGAAATT